TTAAAAATGCAGTTCTTATAACAATTGTCCAATGCGTAAGTGGCGTAAACAGGATCTTTTAAGTGTTGCTTACAAATTATCTATGTTCTATTCTGTTTTGTGTGTGTGTATGTGTGTGTGTTTGTGGCTTTTATTCTTTTAAATCTCTCCTTCTTTTTAAATTCCCAGTTCTGTAAAACATTCATAAAGGTAAAAGTAAAGTCGGGAGATGTGAACCAGCATCATTGCACACGGTTATAAACGGCACGTGCGCTGCCACCAATACGGACAGCTGATAAGAAACTGTCCGCTTGTATTGCCGTTAGCACGCAACTCCGTAGCTACAGCCACGTTCCTCTATTTACCCCACAGCGTTAACCCTGGTACCCATAACCTAGTGGCTGAGTAAAGCTCGAGAACCGCCCTGTTTCGAACACGGGCCGTGGGCTGCAGCAAGTTGCAGCTGAATTTGAAAGGGAGTCTTCTATAGACTGCGTTAACGCGGCCCCCAGAACATCCATAGTTCATTAATAGTGATTCCTAAATTGGAATTTTCAATGAATTAAAAAAAAATCGAAGTTATAAGATAACAGCATACGGCTCATCCCACAGATGTTCGTTCCTGTACCAGCGAAGACCATAAATAATACCCATCAATTTCCTCCGTATAACTTACACACGATTAAGTGCACAAGGCAGCCGTCAGAAATGCCAGCTCAACCAATCCGACACTAGAAATAGACTTTATCGCTCATGGAAGAAGCAGTTACCACTAATCAGTAGTTAGGCGATTAATAAAAGGCATAAGGCATCACAAGTTCCCAGACAGCGGGCCGCTATCTATTGTTTCTGAATCTACAGTTCACCACTTTGGATACAGTCTAGAAGTACTTGAAATGAAAAAAAAAAAAAAAAAAACACACAGCTCACTAGTAAGCTGAGCGATTGGAATGATATGAAAATCCACATTATTTATCTCTTTGTCTTCATTTTGTGCCGTTTCTATTATCTACCCAGTTGTTTTCAAATTTTCCAGTGTATTCATTTTCATTACATAACTAGATACACTGACCCTCTACCTTAAATTTCTTCAATCGGTTGACATTTAAAAAAAAAATTTTTATCGCTTCGAGAGCGATTGCAACAACAGATTTTATATCATTCAATGATCCTATCCATCGTTCTCGAAAATCGTATCCCCTAACCCGGGCTTGTCTGCTTCTGTCTTTTTTTTTTTTTTTTTGGCAATTAAATTATTAAAGCTGCGGGCAAAATGTTTAAACGGACTGCCTATCTATATACATAAAAATCAATGTTTGTGTGTTTGTGAGTTTGTTTATAGCCTATAGACTCGGTAACTACTGCACCGATTGAGCTGAAATTTTAAGGATATGTTTGTTTTGATACCGGATGTTTACCCATCATGGTTTGAAATTCAACCTGTCACTGTTAGAGATAGTGTGCGACAATTTTTGGAAAAATATTTCGAAACTAATATTTCAATTTTTAGTGACATTTTAACCATGTTAGTTAATGCTCATGTGCGATCGATTTTTACCGTGCATGCGCAGTAGTGGCGCTCCATCATCAACATCCGCCCGCGACATCACAAGGAAAACAATGGCCATCGGTTTTTAGGTATGTTATCTAGAAATCTAAAAAGTTAAGAGCATTTATTTCAGTAACATTAGTCAGTATGTACATGTTTTTTGTTTACTTCAAACAAGTGTGCACCACTTCTTAAATCCCGCAATGATAAATGTATACACACTATCATTAATCATTATCTGTTATCTTTTTCATACTCATGAGTACAACAGTTTTGGTTGGCTTTCTTCTGTTATTCAAAAGAATTATATAAATTTACATGACATTCCGTCTCAGGTCAGTGTTAGAATCAAGAAATATCTCAACAGGTGAGCGCATTTATTTCAGTGATATCAGTCATTATGTACATTTTTTTAAACTTCAAATACATGTGTGGACCACTCCTTAAATCCCACAATGATAAATGTATGCACATTATCTGTTGGCTTTCTCATATTGTCTTATATACCGCCTTTTCTTACTTTTTGCTGTCCAGTTTCTTTGCATTTCATCTTGAGTCAAAATAGATTGTTATCTTATGCTCATATTTTCATTTATTTCAGCGATACTTCAAGTCACAATTTGCAGTTATGCCTCCCAAACGACAAGCGATTGGCCCATCTACACCTAAAACACGCAAGAGAAGGGCATTAATTGCTTCAGAAACAGACGAGCAACGTGAGGTAAGACTGGAAACCATTCGAGTGCGCACTGCTGAAGCCCGTTCGTCTCAATCGGACCAGCAACGGAAAGCAAGACCAGAAAACGTTCGAGTGCGCACTGCTGAAGCCAGATCGTCTCAGTCAGACGAGCATCAAGAAGCAAGACTCATAAAAATGTCTTTCGTTTTGCCAGCGGGACAGCAATGTGATTTCTATCGGATATACACCATTCTACTTTTTGTTTGCTTGATACCCTTAGATTGGGGCTCTTCTTGATAAAGTAAAGTAAAGTAAAGTAAAGTAAAGTAAAGGGCCCTTTACCACGCCTTTCAAGCATATTGGGTATATAGGGGTAGACCTAAATTTTATAGACCACGGCACAAGACGAGTGATGTGGTTAACGTCACGCAAGCCAACTTACTTCCCCTGACTGCCTCCGGTACCCACTCAAGACTGGGTCGTCCTGGAAGCCAAGGTCATTTTTGAAAAAAGTCTGGCCCCACCAGGGAACGAATCCACGACCTTCCGATCCGAAGGCGAGTGTCTAGCCGCTTCGCCACGGCTCTTCTTGATCTGGTAGTTAATCAGTCGTTCGTTCTACAGATCATGGATTCATTATATGAACTGCGCTGTTCGGTAGAGAAATACATGTCTTACGAAGCTTCCCGTTGATCATCGCAGGAGCTAAGGATTTTTTGCGTGTGTGTACAGCTCTCAGCAGGAGAGAGTGAGAGTGAGAGAGAGAGAAAGAAAGAGAGAGAGAGAGAGAGAGAGAGAGAGAGAGAGAGAGAGAAAGAGAGAAGAGAGAGAGAGAGAGAGAGAGAGAGACAGAGAGACAGAGAGACAGAGAGAGAGAGAGAGAGAGAGAGAGAGAGAGAGAGAGAGGTAAAGAAATACTGGATACATTTCCTGGTGCAATGAAGTAGGCTTTAATTCTTTAAAAAAAAAAAAAAAAGGTACTTTCAAGAATAAAGCGACCCGCTAGTACATATTTTCAACAATAGACGGAAGACACAACAATAATTATTCTTCAGTATCAACTTCTGTTGATACTGAAAGGAGTTGACTGGAAATTACTTTCCAGACGAGAACTAATTCAGACTGAACTGGAATTAAAAAAGGTTAGCCTTTGTGATTATTTTCTTCACATTAGATTATTTCTCGACTTCTCTGGGGCCTATTTATCTCATAGACTTCTACTTCTGTACGTGGTAATTTTGTTATTTTCTTTTAAGTTTTTCATCATTTAACTTTATGTCTGGATTTCTTCCTAATCGCATGGGGCAAGTCTGTTTTTCTTTTTATTCTTCTTTTTTTGTGATCGGGGCCACGTTTACGCAGTCGATAGGTGACTCGCTTTCAATTCCAGCTGCGACTCGCTGCAGCCCACGGCCAGTGTTCGAAACAGGGCGATCACCGGGGTTCACCCTGCCTCTAGGTAATAAAAAAAAAGAAAAGAATTTGTTGCTGTAGCTACGGAGTTGCGTGCGGACGGCGAAACAGGCGTACAGTTTCTTATCCGCTGTTCGTACTGGTGACAGAGCACTTATGGTTTATAACCGTGTGTAATGACGTTGGTTCACATCTCCCGACTTTACCTTCACCTTTGCGATCGGTTTCGTATGTTCCGGTCAGACCATCAGGGGGGTTGCGTCTATCAACTTATATGTCAGCTGCAGGTTTTTCGTGGTTCTTTACAGCTTGCTCTGCACACTGTATTTGCTCTAGAGGCTAGATTTCTCTTCGAAGTTGTAGGCTGAGTGGGCAGGTCTGAAGAATGTTCTCAGATGTTTGTGGTATTGTCTGACAAGCACACTATGGGGATTGTACGGTCCTTATCTTATGCAAGTCTGTTTGAAAATGTATTTGTTTGTACGTCTGTCGGAATATATCCAACAGCTAATTTACACAGCCACTAAGAAACACATTTGCTACCTTAATTATTGTACCAACTTGACCTTCATGAAAAACAAGTTTTAGTTAAAAGGGAAGTAGAGTAAATTAGGAAACATTTCCCGTGGCAACGTACAGATGTGAGACGTGGACTCTCACTAGACCGTTGAAGAAAATAATGGGAGCTAATGAAATGAAAGTTGTAGCAACAATTAATAGACTTTAATAAAAAAAAAAAAAAGATTTACATTCTGAATGAACTGGACAGGGAGGAGAACTGTCTCATAAACAGCATCCAATCCAGAAAGTTGTATTTTAGCTAGGTATAACATTATGGTGGCTGGGAAAAGGGGGGGGGGGGGAGGTGATGCAAAATGAGGCAAAGACTGACCACCGAGAGGGTCAGTGTTATTTTCTGTTGTTTACCACTGCCTTTATTGAACGGCGAGAATTCCATATCATTGTCAAATCAGAACAAACTGGTCTGCTGCAAAATAGTTTGTAGCTGAATGGAACCAAATGTTTCCGAATTTCAAACCACATTCGCAACGCTCAAGCCACAGACGCCGAGACAGGAAAGATAACACTACCAAATTAATGTATATACTCCTTACGTCCTTCTTAGGACGTAGTTTTTTGTTATTTGAAGCCCCACTATGGCTTTTGCCAGGGGCCGCAATATAGGCAGGCCATCAATATGGCCAATTGTCTGAACGCGGTTTCTGGGACCTCTCCACGGCGATCCTCATCCGCATGGTGGCACTTTGTGTCATCGGGTGTTTATCGCTTGTGTGATGTCCTAGTGGTGTAGAAAGTCAGTCAGTCAACACTACCAAAATAGACTAATATCTAAAACGAAGTTAGTAAAGCACAACTTACATGATCTGTCTTGTTTTCATACTTCTGGTTCCAGAATCTGGAGACGATGAGAGCGATGTTGTTGGGAAGTGTCAGCAATAGGAAAGTGAAAGACACTGTCAGGAGTAATGCTGTCAAACGAGTGCCATCACTTGCTGGCGTCTTCCTTTGGCTGGAGTTACCAGAGGTGTTAACATTGGTTGAGGATGGGGTGTGGTTCTCCTGTTCAGACCCTGCTAGGCGTCCACGAGTAGATCGAGCACTTGCTACCTGGAAGCAATGAAATTAGAACACGTTTTCACTGATAAAATTGCTTACTTCCTGGCAGTGGCGCGGCAACGTGGGAGCTTTAGCACGGCTTGGTTTAGATTTAATGGGGCCCTAGGGACACACCCTCCCCCACCGTTTACATTATTTCAACTAATCTCAGAAACGTTAAAATATATACGCTTTTAAAATATGTGGATAATAGAAATATATCGTCGTGTAATGGTTGAGAAAAGAAATAATAACAATAGGTTTGCAAACACAGCAATTGAATTACATAATCCTAGATAGGGATCAAAGTTACAAATTTAAACTTTTTTTTTTCAACATGGACTTTTTTTAGGGAGGAATACAGATTACCAAGCCCAAATCTGTAGCTTATTTAGCTTATGACTAAATCCAGCACTGAGTCTAAGCCAAAGACGAGTCAGTATATTTCAAGTTAGTATAACGTCAGTCTCAGTAAATAGAGTCTCAAGTTTGTTGGGCTGGTCGACTTCCCTGAAGGTTACAGGTGTGTCCCGCTATGTTGTTTGGTTTCTGCAAGATTTCATTCCGAGAAAGAGATTGCCTGCAACATAGGTTGCAGCATTCTCTTGGGGATGGGGGGGGGGGGGGGGGGGGGGGGGGGGGGGGGGAGGGGTGTTAGACCCAGTTTTCTCATGTTTTTTGTAGTGTTCAAAGCGCTAGCGTGCTGAAATGTACAACAAACTATAACAACGGGATTTCGGAACGCCTCCGTAAACGTGTGCGAAGGACACAGGGCTCAGGAGCTACTAATCGAAAGTGAGCTAGTGTTAAGATGGGCGGGGTCTGTGGAGACTAACGTCTAACTAACCAAGTTTGAATATCTTATATGCAACTATATCGTACCGAGAGAGCATAAACAGAAAGAAAATAACATGACTGAGACGGAATAGTCCTTTAACTATGCGACTCAATTTTATGTTTTTTAAACGACTGAATGAATGAATCTCTCAAAAACTAACATCTCTGGCGTCTGGTCATTCCCAAACGTTCTCCTTATTCTTTTTCAGTAGTTAATAGTACCTGTTGCCACCTGATTAAAAGTCCGCTTATGCTTTTCTTGCTGTGTTGAATATCTTCCAGACTCCATGCTCACCCCTCGCTAAATTAGTCTGACAATGTAAGGATTCTTGGTCTCTTCTGTTGCATGGTCCACCTGATCCCAGACAGCCTTCAGTACTTCCACTTTATCATAAGCTAGCTCACCAATCAGAGGAGCAACAGCTGCCACTTTGTCTGCTTGCTCTTTACCCTGCACACCCAAATATCCTGGACAGAAAATCTAGAATATATTCCTGATCAGAGTCTTATCAAGCGAAGCAGGTCACACCACGCGTAGGATGCCAGTTTCTGTCTATCGAATCATATTCCGAGAGTCTGTTACAATGACAACATGTTGGTCTGTGCTATTCACAAGCCGCAGGAAAGCTACCGTTCAGCCTCCACCTCCATTTTCTGTTTGTAAATTATTCTTTATATGGTCATCTTCACCTTAGGGATGGCATACCCATAAGTGCTCTTCTAATTCTTATCTTTTCCTTAACATGTTTTTAAGTGTCTTTATTCTGACATCCCAGCACCTGATTGGTTGATATGACTAGTAGCCGTTGCATCGATTACAAATGGCGCTGCTCCTTTTAATATAATTACGCCTCTCTTCTGAGCTATTAAGTGTAAAATTCTTACGTCCTTTTTAGGACGAAATTTTTTGTTCTTTGAAGCCCCACCCTGGCTTTTGCCAGGGGCCGCAATATAGGCCAATTGTCTGAACGCGGTTTCTGGAACCTCTCCACGGCGATCCTCATCCACATGGTGATACTTTGTGTCATCGGGTGTTTATCGCTTGTGTGATGTCCTGGTGGGGTAGAGAGTCAGTCAGTCTTTTGAGCTAAAGCAATTATTTCCTGTTTGTCGTTTCTTTCAAACTGATAAACGTTTTAAATGTGCAAAGTAGATCCACAAGATATTCTGCGACATTGTCTGCTATAACGTATCCAATATAGATTAACAGTTACACTTTCCCTGGTTCTAATGAACCACTGTCAGCATAGACGTCAAGGTGCTTATGTCATTCGTAGCGACAGGCTCAAATCCTTCTATGATTATTAAGATTTCCTGTTTTCATATTGTCAAATGTGTGATCGATTATATTTCTACTCCTTTCTCCTCCAGTGATGCAAAATATATATATATATATATTATAGAGGACCCTGTTCATTCCTAAATGCTTATGCTTACATTTGTGCAACTTACATACAGGCAGGCAGAAAGAAATGGTCGTTAACTTACAATTGTGTAACTTACATACAGGCAGGCAGAAAGAAATGATCGTTACCTTACATTTGTGTAACTTACATACAGGCAGGCAGAAAAAAATGGTCGTTAACTTAAAATTGTGTAACTTACGTACAGGCAGGCAGAAAAAAAATGGTCGTTACCTTACATTTGTGTAATTTACATACAGGCAGGCAGAAAGAAATGGTCGTTCACTTACAATTGTGGAATTTACATACAGGCAGGCAGAAAGAAATGGTCGTTAACTTAAAATTGTGTAACTTACATACAGGCAGGCAGAAAGAAATGGTCGTTAACTTAAAATTGTGTAACTTACATACAGGCAGGCAGAAAGAAATGGTCGTTAACTTACAATTGTGTAACTTACATACAGGCAGGCAGAAAAAAAATGTTCGTTACCTTACATTTGTGTAATTTACCTACATGCAAGCAGTAAGAAATAGTCGCTACCTTACGGTTACCTTATTGAAACAGACAGTTGATAAATGTAATCGAATTTATGTTTCAGTTTCTAGGATTCAGCTATATACTTCATTTTAATCAATTGTTACTGTAGTATGCACCTGACGAGATACAGCGAAATTTGCCAGGCAATAAAGTGTGAAGTCTGTTTGTGTCTTCTTCGTTCAAACTGACAACGGGGAAACACTCCTTTAATTAACTTACTTACGTCGGCATCGGGCATGTAGTTCTTGACCTAATTACTTATACGTATTGACCAATCGATGGAGTCGCCGTTGCGTTGGCGGCTAGACGCCCGCCTGCAGATCAGAAGGTCGTGGGTTCGCGTCCTGACTAAAGCGGACTTTTTTTTTCAAAAATGACCGTGACTCCCGGGTCGACCCAGCTTTGAATGGGTACTTGATGCAGTCATGGGAAGTAAAGGCGGCCGGCGTGGTGCCGAACACATCACCCATCAAGTGCCTAAAGGCGTGGAAAAGAGACCTTTACTTTATTTATTGGCCAATGGGAACTCGATGAATGATGTGTTCAAGATTAACCCGGCCGCCTTTATTTCCAAAAACATTGCCTGGTACCCATTCTTAGGCTGGGTCGACCGGAAAGTCTTAGTAAATTTTGAGAGAGACAAAAATCAGCTTTGCTACGGACTTGAACCCTAGACATTCAAGCTGGTATGTAAGTGTCTAGCCACTACGCTGTCAATGCTTCCTCATATATCGGTGCCAATGAATATATCAATTTGTTTATCGTGCAGTTTCAATTGTTTGTGAGGTTTCTCGACGATTCATGTTTCTGTGTGTTTCTGTGTATTATGAAAATATAAGGACATAACTCCCACTGTCCCATAGCGATGGAATTCAATACACGAGAGGAAAATTAGGAAATATACAAATCGAATAAATGTAGATGCCACAAGCTGTATCTACAGCATATCCGATTTCGGAAACGTACTTCTGCAAATTCGGCTCTGTTGCTAAGTCGATGCGAACGCTTCGTAATGCCGGGATGCCGGGTTCGATCCCAGCTGCGGGCCATGCGCCTTGTGTTGGTTTCGACAGTGGTATCAAGAAAGCCAACACTCCAGAAAGCAATGGCAAACTACTGGACGTAAATTTGCCTAGAAAAACCACATCACAACCAGAGGTTGTTAGGGTTGGTTCTGCAACGTCCTGTAAAGGATAAGCAGCTAACCTTAACTTCTGCAAAAGAGGACTGGCTGGACGTGCGGCTAGAACGCTTGGCTGGCACGCGGCAGAACTGGTTTCACATCATTAAGATGATGAAAGGTACAGGAATGAAACTCCTAACAGGCATAGTTTGTGACGACCCCACTAGCTATACCGCAGTTTATACTCACAATCTTCTTGTCCTACACTGCAGCGGCCCCCACCCACTCTTTTTTCACTATACCCTTCTCTCCACCCCCCCCCCCCCCCGGGGGCCAGTGTACAAAGCACTGAGAGCAGCGTTATTTTTTTTTGGGGGGGGGGGTGCGGGGGGGGGGGGAATTATTGCAGGGAAGAAGTGTACACATCTTTGCCAAAAGTGAAGTGTGGCCCGGCACAGCGCTTAATGTGTTTGCCTAGCACAATTGCGATCAAGCTTAAATAAGAAATACCCCGATATGTTGGAAGCTAATCTGTTTGGCTAGCCCAATTGCGATCTAGCCTAAAATAAGAAATGTGCCGATATGTTGCAAGGTTGAACGTGGTCGAGTTTTCAGTTTTTTTTTTTTTCCTCTAAAAGGACTCACGAGCAGCAGCTACCGCAATTCCTGCAGCTGCCGTCGTTTATTTTGCTCGTGAGTCCTAGCCATCTAGTTTACCCCCAATCCACGCCGCGTGAGCGGCGTGGGGATTACTCTCGGCGGTGGCGGAAGGCGCCGGTAGTTCGCAATTCGGCGGCGCCTTATAGTCCCCTAAGGTACACAATTGACACGTGACTGAGGCCCTGTTAGGGATTACTTTCTGCGTAGATAATTTAGGACCGTCTTTCGGAGGATAGCCATCCCCCTGTTTTCTTCATCTCCTTCTCCTCCTTTATCATCTCCTCCTTCTTCTTCTTCATTATAATATACTTCATCATCATCATCAGCAACAACATCATCATCTTCTTTTTCATCTTCATGATCACCGTCATCATAATCATTATCATTATCTTCCTTTTTCTTCTTCTTCTTCTTCTTCTTCTTCTTCTTCTTCTTCTTCTTCTTCTTCTTC